GCATTACCATTGATAGCCATGTAAATTTTATATTCATTTACCAAATGGAATCATGTTTCTGTATCTGACAATATATTATTAAGAAATTTTATTGGCAAATTATGGAGGATGATGCTATTTCACAAATATATATTAGGTTGGTGCAAAAATAATGACGTAAGAATGTCGTTTTTTAACGTTAAAAAATACGTCAAAAAACGACATTATTACGTCATTATTTTGCACCAACCTAATATTTTCTCCCAATTGTCGCGAGACATTTGAAACACCATGTACAATCACATTAGACTGATGCAACAGTTTCCAGTATTTTATTAACGAATCTTTCGTTCATATAAATTCATAGCATCATTAATCAGTCACCAAGGTTTTTTTTTCCTTGATTTTCTATGTGTTCCCACCACATTTAAGCTAAATTGTTTTTGTTTTTTTAATACCATGTCATTTCAGGACCATAGAAAATCATAAATATGAATTTTCTGAAATTCCTTTACTTTATTATCTATGAATTGACTTTACTTTTTTTGAAAGATGTTTGAATCATTCCCCGTTTTCTTCTTCGTGGTTTTGATGTCTGAGTTATAATCCTCATAGACTAACCGCCATCCAAGGATCAAGATGCCACTCTACCTTGATTTTTAACCTTTTATTCTAGGATTGGAAATAGAAAATGGATTATTACCATTTCCAAGGACATTATTGCCAAATGAACGCAATAGACAATGCTAGAATTAAAACTTGGTTCGTCGATTTCCTTTTCCTTGATAATAACTGGTAAACCGCTACGATAGCTTCACACAGGTAAATGAAAGGTTTTCAAAAATTTATTCATAAATTTTTTTTAATATCAATTCGTATCATTATATTCGCTCATCAAAATATTTTCATTGTCTTTTTATCGAGCTGTACTATGTTTTAGCCAAATTGTGTATTCCATCATAAAAGGTTTCGAATTTGATTCGATGAATCCTACAAGTACTTTTGCGATAACTTGGACTTGTTGAAACAATGAAACATGGCGCGAAGCAAGTGAAATCTGAAGGCGGATAGGCGACTCTTCCAATGCTGGTTGCACCGTAACCAGTGGCTCACTGTACGTAGACAGCATTGCACCATTTTGTCGTGATTCTACTAATACGTAATAAATTATTCATTTTTGAATATTGACTAAATGCAAATATTTCGGTTGGGATGTGATGGATTTAACATTGTTTTAGATTCTTGCAATAAATCCATTTTTGTTGCCAACGAATATCTTGTTAAAAATGCAAGATTTTGACCAGCACTTGGCTTGCTCAATTTTTTATGCTTCGGGGCAACAAATAGAAAAGTAAGGCATTTAGATATAATTAGACGAGTAGAACTGATGCAATTATTGAATACAGTAGAAAATAACGCATTCATCAGTTTAATTTTACATTTTTTTCTTCTTTCTTGTGTTGCTTAATATTTAGTCGAATAAGTATAGTTGCTTTTAAAAAAAGGAATCGTGTATTTAAAGAAGCAATTTTCGTAGTTATTTTTTTACCGTTTCATAGGGTCAAGAAAACAGGAATGCTTTGATAAGATCAATCGTTCAAAATTACGTTCGAAAAGCAAACATTCCGACATTCTTATGGCGATTCTGCCAATGGAGCCAATTTCTCAATATATACAGACTGCGTACAATTTTGACCTGTTTCTATTAATACGTAATAAAGAAATCATTTTGTATCTTGACTAAACGCAGATATTCCCTTTGTGCTGTGACGGATTTAACTTTGTTTCAGCTATTCGTGATAAAACATTTTTTGTCAATGTATTGCTTGCTCAAATATACAACTCAAGGTTTTTGACCAGTACTCTGGTGATTTAATATATATATATATATATATATATATATATATATATATATAGAGAGAGAGAGAGAGAGACATACATGTTTAATTAAATAATATAGAGAAGTGTCGTCTATTTATTTTATATAAATTTTTTTCGTAACGTCTGATAAGTTTAATAACATTATCGTTGAACGAAGAAAGAAATTCACAATATTGATCCATATTTTTTTTTATTTAATACAATCTAAGCTTTCGGTTTACATAAGCCATTATCAAAGATGTCAATTACAACATAATATACGGACAAGGCAGTGATAGTCTGTCATTGTTTACATAGATGATTTTTAAGCAACGATAAACACGTGCATATATATTGACTGTGATCCGGAGAGATTAAACTCCGCGATAATAACACATGAGGACTGTCGTTCGGAGTTTCCTTGGCAAGTCTTTTGCAACGTTACTTTTTTATCGAAAGGTCCAAAAATTGTGGATGGTCCGATCAAGCCTTCACCACTTGAACAAATTACTGTGTTGGTTTTCTGACAACCACATCTAATTAGTTCCCCGCATATCCGGCTACTGCGAAAGAGTCTACGAAACAACATCAACTTCATCTTGGCATTTGGAATGTACGAACTCTCCAAGACAACAACACAACACCAGAAAGAAAAACAGCTCTGGTCGCATTGGAGCTAAAGAAGTACAACATTGATATAGCTACATGAAACGAGAAAGCAAAATAAGACATCTAACAGTGTTCCTGCTGCACTTGGATACAATACCTTCTCCTGGACTGTTTGTGGTCTTTTGTGCAATTCTAGAGCCGGTCTCAAAAGTCATGCCCGTCATAGACATGCAGATAATTAGTTCGTGGTCGTCGAAACCTCATACGTCGAACTCGACGAGAGAGTCCATCATATATCTGTGTGTGTGTTTCATTAAAAACGACTGACAAGACAACCAATATTATTTACGAATTCACATGTCCCTTAAGAAACTGTGTCCCTGATCGGTCCAAGCTCATAATTATATTGGATATACTACATCATGCCAAACAAGAAGACTCGCGTTATATCTCTCCGACCATAACTCAATTCGCTCTCATTTAAATACACATGGGGACCTACCAGACTCTCCGCAACATACTCGTTGATAATACAAATATAATAGCTTCATCTACATGTAAAAATGGTTAAAATAATGGAAGGATTATTAATAAAAAAGAAAAAGCCAATAATCAATAATATTAACTATGAATACGGCCACAATGTTCTGATCATGTTTGGGAAATATAAAAATTCCTCTAGATACACACATAAAAAAAATCCATAAATTCAATTAAAAGTAAAAAATATCATTCTTGATAATGACTAGCCGAAAGCGCTTAGAATTTCTACATAATTTGTGCCCAGGAGAAAATTATAACACAGCAAAAATTAAATTAAAACACCTAACCGCAATTCCTTGTCAGTCATTTTAAATGAAACTTGTATACGCTGCCCAAATACACTATATATATATATATATATATATATTATATATATAATTTCGTTTATACGTTATTACTATAGATATAAATTTATTTAGGAAAATGCTCTGTGTTTTTTAATTACGCAGTATTTAATACCCACCTGAATTTTCGAGAAATTTCGTAGAAAATGTGTCTTTCTCCGACAGGAATCGAACCTGTAACCCCAATGGCAACCATCATTTGAGCTGATGTGCTGTCAACCATTCAGCCACAAAGAAGCACCTGGTTACAAAAGTTCAAATGACTGTAAACAACAAATCCATTTCATAATATGTCATTGTTTCATGAGCAGATATTATCGTTCGGGAAAGATCGTCGAAGATCTATTGTTTATAAACAGTAATTTGGACTTTTTTTTTCTAGCCAGGCGCATGTTTCCTCAATGCATTTTTCTTTTTCACCTTGGAATTCTGGCCTGAATAATAGATGAAGATGAGAAATACATAGAGAAAACAGAGAGAAAATTCTCCACGCTAGAAAACGAGCTTACAGAACTCCGCAAATCTCCAAAACTGGACACCACCGAGAGTACTTCTACTAACAACAAAATTCATAATCCTACCCTGTAACACTCCTAAAAACTTATAAATAAATAAATAAATATATATATATATATATATATATATATATATATATATATATATGATCGAAATAAAAGTATAAAATTTAATATTACAAGACATATTAAAAGTATTAAATAATGGTTCACCGTGTTGGCCTGGTCACACTCAGTATTTTCATCTGAAGGTTCTGAAGCACTTTACATCGGGTCCCTTAAGTTTCTTTTTGTGCAAACAACGTGAGTGTTTGCTGGGAGTCGCTGTCATCTGCCTCTAGTTCCTTCTTGCATATATATGAACATATATATATATATATACATATATGTATATATATGTGTGTGTTTATTTTTTTTCCACCTGTTCTTACTGTACATTTCTCTGTTTTAATTTTCAATCTCCTGTGGAAGCCTGACGAGCGGGGAGCAAAAACCGGTTGCTTCCCCCCCTTGTTGTTGAGTTTTTTTTTTTTTATTATTTAATACTTTTTAATGTCTTGTAATATTAAATTTTATACTTTTATTTCGATCATTAAATTTTGTACCTACAAAAATATCTTTAAATATATATATATATATATATATAGTTAATGGTTCCCTAGTGTCATTTTCTCCTCTTCTATTAATATGTGATATAGAATTCGTTTTGATTATTGACTAAAGGAAAATATTGCGTTTGGGATGTGGGGGATTTAATATTGTTTTAGACTCTCGTAATAAATTTATTTTTTATTGTCAATGGATACCTTGTCCTAAAATGCATTTTTGTGCCTCAAGAAATAAGAGAAAGACAAATATTGAAAAGCAAACCGAGGTTTGGTTCTGGGAAACTATTTTCCTATCTTTTCTTTTATTATTACTTAGGCTTGTAAAAGACAGGCTACTTGTTAAATAATTAACTATGAACTAAGGGAACTTGAAAAAAATTCAAAGACTTCTTCGACATTGTGCCAATGACGGTGCTGCGAAATTTTGCATCAAAGTAATAATGATTTTGCAATATTTTTACAAAATATTGTTTGCTAGATGAATAGGAGGCAAGGAGACAAGGCAGGGAGAAGCCGGGACGTCATAACAGGGAGAAACAAAGTCACCAAGAGAGAAAAGACGCCAAAAGACGCCAGGAGAGAAAAGAAACCAAAGACGCCAGGAGAGAAAAGGAACCAAAGTCGTCAAGAGAGAAAAGAAACAAAAGTCGCCAGGAGAGAAAAGAAACAAAAGACGCCAGGAGAGAAAAGAAACCAAAGACGTCAGGAGGGAAAAGAAACAAAAGACGCCAGGAGAGAAAAGAAACAAAACTCGTCAAGAGAGAAAAGAAACCAAAGACGCCAGGAGAGAAAAGAAACAACAGACGACAGGAGAGAAAAGAAACCAAAGACGCCAGGAGAGAAAAAAAACCAAAGACGCCAGGGAGAGAAAAGAAACCAAAGACGCCAGGAGAGAAAAAAAACCAAAGACGCCAGGAGAAAAAAACAAAAGACGTCAGGAGGGAAAAAAAACAAAAGACGCCAGGAGAGAAAAGAAACAAAAGAAAGAAACAAAACTCGTCAAGAGAAAAAGAAACCAAAGACGCCAGGAGAGAAAAGAAACAACAGACGACAGGAGAGAAAAGAAACCAAAGACGCCAGGAGAGAAAAGAAACCAAAGACGCCAGGAGAGAAAAGAAACAAAAGACGCCAGGAGAGAAAAGAAACAAAAGACGCCAGGAGAGAAAAGAAACAAAAGTCGTCAGGAGAGAAAAGAAACAAAAGTCGTCAAGAGAGAAAAGAAACACAAACGTCTAGAGAGAAAAGAAACAAAGAAGACAGAAAGAAAAAAGATTGCATATGAAATAATGAGGATATTGGAAGAGTTTAAAGTATTTTCACTGTATTTCCCTTTATCATTTAAATATCGACGTCTACAAATTCTAAGTGCTCTTAAGTGAAGCCGATACTTATTCTGAATTTTATTTTGTTGTTATGTGAATGAAAGTTTATGAGATCATTTTTATTTCTTGATTTTCGATTGACGCTTAGTTTTACATCATTATCAGTACGGTTTAACATGATATAAAGGAAAGCTATTGTTTGTTTCTATTTCCTATGTAAATTCGATTGTATGTTCAATGTTTATTTACAAGATCAGGTCATAATGTTTTGCGGGGATATATTAATAAAGCATTGTCAATACATCGGAAATATGTTGATTGTTCAGATAAAATATTTTTATAAAAGGCGATCCAATCACTACTTCGAATTTTTGTCAATAAAAATTATTATCGAAAGTGAAACATCAATGCGTAATAAATCAACAAATCTTTATCATTTTCTTTATCGTTAGGGAGAAATTTTTTTAGGGTACTTGATTTTCAAGCCGTTGTTAACAGGTATGTTGATGAATAGCGATTTAATATATAAACTATCCACAAGTTTTTTTTCTTTCGACGAGGTCATAGGAATGTTTAAGGTTTGGGAACAAAGAGCTAATTGTTCCTAAATTGGAACTGAGCCGAAAACATTAGAATCGAGATTGAGGAAAGGACTTCTGCGACTTAAAATCTGAAGAGTACGTACAAATATATGTAGTAGGAGGAAGAGAGGCAAGATTAGTAGGAATAATGATAATAATAATGATAATAGATTGACCAAGCCAGTGTTGAGATCTGCGAAGATACTAAGAAAGGTGCTGCTACTTAAGTATCTAAGGTTTTCTGCACTTACTCAATCACTTATTGAGCAACAAGAATAATGTGCACACACTAAGATGATGATAATTAAGATGGGCTATAGTAAATATGCCGCTCAGCAGCAGAAATTGTCTTGTCAGACTTAGCTTAAGTAGTTAGGCGTGTCTCTTACAGCCTGTGAACCTCTGTTCATGAGCGGTTTACTGGGGGAGTATCATGGTCGGGTATCGAGAGGGCTGTTTTATTTTATTTTTTTATTTTTAATCTGAAGCATGAGACAGTTAAAGCGACTTGGGAGTCACATACTTGAGAACACACTTAATTGGAGAACGGGTGGAGAAACTGAGTTATTTCTAATTGAGCCTCGTTGAGAGTTGATGCGCTGCTTTTGTCAAAAACCAATTAATATATTGTGTACATTTGGCTATTATTCATGTACCTGGTATACATTTGTCAGACTGGTTGGCATGTCCCCTAGTTGCTGAAATTGTTCATGAGCAGGAGTAATCTTAGTGCATCATGGTTGGGTATCGAGAGATTTTTTTTTAGTTTGAAAGATAACGCAGCCAAGGTGACTTGAGAGTAAAGATGATATATTTGAAAACCCTCTCAATCGAATGTCTGAATAGATTAGGTTATCCGAGCTGAATGTATTTCTGACTAGATCCCTTATGTAAATTTATGTTATGTTTTATCAAAATCAGTTGCGACATGGCGTACATTTGGTTCTGATTCATGTGGGTGATGTACCCTTGTCAGACGGAGGGAATTATGATTGGTTTATTGAGATTCGTATATTGACATTTTAGTATCACTATATTGGCATGCTGCTCTCTCGCTCACTAATAATAATAATAATGATAATAATAATAATAATGATAATAATAAAGTACCTCTATCATATCAGTGCTAAAGTTTCCGAAGATAGTGAGAAATTGATAAAGATTTGAAGAGACGTGCTTTCACTAGATCTCCTGTGATAAAAAAGTGATAGCTGCCGTATTTAATGTGAATATCTAAATGAATTCATATAATAATAATAATAATAGCAACAAGACGAAGTAAATGTGAGACGGTGTTAATAATGTAGCATTAACAAAAAAAATTCAAATTAAAAGCGAATAATGACAATAAAAAAAACGAAAAATACAGAAAGATTAAAATAGAAAAATAAATTTTCATTAAATCGGTTGACATTAGTCAGCGACCTTTACACAAAAACATGACTTTTATTAGTCCTTCCTTTTTTTCCTAAAGCATCTCACCCTCAACCGAGTTGCTCTCTTGTAAAAGTGAAAGCGTTGTACGGAATTCTTTTTTTTTTTTTTTTTAAATCAGTTTACCCCAAGCAAGGCGATAATGCCGTTAAGACAGCAAAGATTTACTGGAAGTGAAAGAGAATGAGAAGACTTTAGTGAGGAGAAAGGACAATAAAATAACATTCAGCCAGTCAGAAGATTGCAATTGACGGTTCATTTAATTTTTTGAAGATTGTAGGTGGCAGGCAAGCAAGACACTGGAAGAGATTTCCACGGGCGAGAAGTGCGAGAAAAGAAACTATTAGAATAGAACTTACGTTTCAATTTAACTAATTCAATAGTAAAATGATAAGACTTAGTTTTCAATTTAGTAGTTCGCTTAAATCTATGCAGATGAGGCACCAAGGAGGAGGAGAACTGCTATTAAAATGTTTATAGTATGGAAAAAGACTAACAAATCTCTTTCAACTAATTTTGCTTCGATACATTTCTTTTATTTATTTATTTTAATTTTTTTTTATCTAAGCGATGTACAAGATATTTTTTTTCAACATTTTTGTCTTCTTGTCTTTTTTTAATTGGATGCCGCCGGAGTTGTTTATTACTCTTCGCCATTTTTCTTTAAGCCTATCAATTGGCTTAAAACTTTGAAAATCACGTGAACAACCTTTATCGTCTTTTCCTGCGAAAACAATCTGATTGCAAAAGACGGACAACATTTTTCTGTTCTTCCCTCTTGTGTTTCATTCTCGGTATCACCGATTTGATTTTTCATCCTCTCATCTTCTATATATTTTTTGTCACTCATATGTTCATTTAAGTACCTTTTTGTTTTCATCATTTTCTCCTATTTTCCCTCTATTTCCTTTTTAATTTTCTACTGTCATTGTTCTTGTTCAATTTATTTTCTTCCCACCTTTTAGTTTTTGTCTTTGAGTTTTCGTATTGTTGTTCTTCATTAATAATTGAAAACGTTGATCATTCGATACATGTCTATATTATACTAAAATTATCTGATGGAAAATATCAACTTCACAATTGGGCCTACCAACCCCGCTCACCGTCCTGCGTATGACGATAAACTGCATCTGCGTCCTGGGTAAGACGATAAACTACTACTCTGATCAGGAGGCTTTGAGGAGCGTGGAACCACCTCTTAATTGCTGGTGTTCCCAGGTCCACCCTGACAAGGGGTGGTAGCACCTGCTAGGGTCCCAGCTATGGGCAAATAGTTAACCCCAAAACTGGGGTCAAAACAGGATTCAATACCAGAAATACTTTGTAAAAATATTAGTACCAGCAATACATTTTTGAACAAAAATAAAAAAATTACCAGCTATACATTTTTGGAAAAAAATATTACCAGTGAAGGAAAATTATTACCAGAAATAGATTTTTGAAAAAAATATTACCAATTTTGACGGCATTAAATAACCCATTGAGGTTGATATGCCGTAAAACAAAAGCTAAAACTGAAACCAATCGCGCTCAGATAATATGTCACAGACCACCCTAAGTGATGACTGGCCATGATACAAAAATATCAGGGTCATTCATAGTATCATAAATGACTATCACTATAGTTATATATATATATATATATATATATATATATATATATATATATATATATATATATATATATATGTATTTAGGGCAACAGTTTTTAATTTCTAGAAGTTTGGTTAAAACCGTTGACGACAATTAGTTAAATAGGTAGGGATAAGAGATTAGTTGATAGAAAGACAGGAAGGAGGATAATTATTTTCTGTCTATCTGCCTAAGTCGATAGGCAAAGAAGACGGTATTGAATTTTCTCCAGTCATGACCAAGCGTTGTGCACCATTGAGGCTGTTTGCCTTGAACGCCTATTGGGGATCAAGTTCACCCCAGATATCAAGTGCTATTCATATATAGAATTACTGAAGATGCTGGAAAAATGGTCCATTCCTTGTACCGCTCCACCGTTCATCCTATGTTTGCAAGTGTCAAATAAAGCCAAAACTGAAGTATTTTTTTTTAAGCATTTCACGCCAAGCAAGGCGGGAGTGCCACTAGCACGCAATGTGTTGCAGAGATTGGGAGCAAGAGTAAAGAGGCATGATAGAGAAAAAGATGAAGAGAAAAACGGAGAATTAGATCAAGGCATTGGAAGATGTCGATTGACATTGCATTTGAATAATTGAAGATTATAGCTATCAGGGAAACAAGTAAGAGGAAGGGAGTTTCACACACGGGAAGTGCAAGACATGATGCTATTGGAGTAGAAGAGACGGCTACATTTAACAATTTCGACAGTGAAAGGGTGGGACTGAGATGCCAATCTAGTAGAACCCTTAAATTCATCTAGGCTGGGAATCAGCGAAAGTAGTTCGTCGGAGTACTTATCGTGAAAGTATTTGTAGAAAAGACAGAGGGAAGCGACTAGATTAGTAGAAAAAGACAGAGGAGGAGGATAATTATTTCTCTGTCATCTGCCCAAGTCGATAGGCGAAGAAAGTATTGAATTTCTCCAGTCATGACGAAGCGTGCACATTGATCCTTTGAACGCCTATTGGGGATCAATCACATTATCAAGCATATCTGAATTGCTGGATGGTCCATTCCTTGCCATATTGTTCATCCTATGATTGCAGCAAATGCCAAACAAGTATTTTTTACACGTTCCTGCGGAGTATGACAGAGATTGGGGAGCAAAAGCATGATAGAGAAAAAGATGAAGAGAAAAACGGAGAATTAGATCAAGGCATTGAAGATGTCGATTGACATTGCATTGAATAATTGAAGATTATAGCCATCGGGAAACAAGTAAGAGGAAGGAGTTTCAAGCACGGGAAGTGCAAGACATGATGCTATTGAAGAAGAGACGGCTACATTTAACAATTTCGACAGTGAAAGGGTATTTAATCTAGTTCCATGTGCAGGAAGTCCAGACGTTATCGTTATTGTTTCAGAGGGAAGCGACGGCACGTCTGGTGAGTTCCTCCACTTCAGGGCCATTTTGCATATCTGTCTCTGATTATTGATATCTGGGATATTCCACAATTCTCACGTGCATGACAGAGTTCAAAAGAAGTTCGAATCATTTTCAACCGAACAACCCCATGAACGTCGCATTGCTAGTTCCAGTTCCAAGTCCAGACGCGTTATATTTCTTAGTTCCTCCACTTCAGATTTTGAAATCTATGATTCGATATTCCACATGCATAGAATCGAATCATTCCATCTGTCTCTAAGAAGACTCAGTTCTTCCCAAGAACTCTGCGAAACAGTCTCGCGAGAGGATTCTTTCCCGATCTCTACGAGATTTACCATTTCAAGCGTTGCGTCAACCGTAATATTTCTTGCATATCCTCATAACTTGCACCTAGTTCCTCCTTACATCTGTTCAAAAATCTCACCGAGTAAACCTCTACATTGAGTAACTCTTGAGCCTTGTATTGGGCGAACATTTAATAAAAATATTAAGTTGGTAAGAAATTAGGTAAGTATATAGATAAGTATATAAGGTAGGTAGGTAGATAACAACGAGAGTGCGTATGTAGATACAGAATCAAATACGACCATATAAAGGTAAGTCGCAAGATAAAAACACAAGTAGGTAGATAGGTAATTGGATGAGAAGGAGGGTAGGTAAGTCGATCGGAAAGTAAGTAGGTAGATATGCTTCTAATACGAAAGCTTATGAAAGAAAATAAGTAAGAAAATATGTAAGACGATATATGAAAATTTATCACGGTTTTGCTGACTGGAGCACTCCTCGGAGCGTTGAAGCAAAAAGAACAATTGAAAAACAAGAAAAACAAAATACTGGCGGGGGGGATACAATCAGGTATCTGGTTCAAGTTGAATGAGATGCTGGTAAATTTGAAAGAAGAGACGAGGAAGAGAGGGAACGGAAATAACGCTGTGTGTATGTGCGCCCGTGTATGTTTTAAGAGAATACGAAGGTTGAGACATTATGTAGGTTTGTGAACTAGCATGGACCAGAGGGAAGGGATAATATGGAATTACGGGATTTGCACGAGGAGAAGACAAACCGGAAACGTAGGCAATTTTCCGGTTCCGGTTCTAGAATTTTGTCAGAAGGGGAAAAAATAGGAAAAAAAAAAAAAACATTGGTGAAATTTATATATATATATATATATATATATATATATATATATGGATTCAAGAGACATAATCCAATTTAGTGTCTCGGATAGACAGCGACCAAGTACGATTACCTTCTCCCAGTTCGCTCCCGTATAGAAGCAGACTGACACATACACACATGATTAGACAAACTTAAAAGAGAACAGAGACATGCATCCATGCATATTTGTATCCAGGGCTGACAACCGGAAATGGTTCTACGTCAGATTTTGGAGATAATGGTTTACACCCACCAAGCATATTCTTGACCCTTGTATTAAGTCTGTCCGAAGAGTTTATATCTATACTGTATCTTATTAGTGGGGATTTGCTGATAGTGTAACAGTCACTAGCACAGAAAATGAAATCGAAGAGCCGAGTTCAACTTCCGGTCACAACCGTTTCGTTTACTTCGCTCTAATGCTCTTAGTAAAAAGGCATGGATCCATATTTTCCAGCTGTGCATTAAAAAATACTGACGAAGGATACAATCAGGTGGCTGATTAAACTTGAGAGGGTCGAAATTGCTTTTGAATGTGACTCTAATGAAACTGAAAGGAGAGGCGAGGAAGGGAGGTAGCGGAAATGATCTATGTGTTTGTAGAACATGGAGAGAATACAAAGGTTGAAACAGTATATAGCTCTTTAAAGCAAGACTGATGTGCTCTCTCGCATTGGGTGTCCATCAGTCTAAGACAGTAGTTTCTAAATGACGCGGCGCTCCTCATAGGTGCAGCGGAAGAAGATAGCAGGTGAGGCGGAATGACTGAAAGACAATCAAAGACTTAGAAACGGTTTTAAAAAAATACATATGCCAAAAATGAATATGATTTCAAAATTTAAAATATTATTATGAATTACCTGTAAGTGCATGTATGAGTCGCAGTATAAAAATTTATAAATAATTATCGACCGATTTTATCATTGGGACACTATTGCATTATATAAAGTATTAAGGATATAGTAACTAGTGTCCGCAAATTGGAAGAGAGAGTTATCAATGATAATGTTCTGACTTTGAATCCGTGGTTATCTCCCTTTAACCCTCTGGACTTTATTTGCTGTAGGACTGCTTGCGCCTTTTCACCGGAACTTCTCTTTGGTGAGACGCGATCAAATTTTCATTCCGAAAATGCGACCTAGAGAAACAAAGTTTGGGAACCACTAGTCTCGAAGGAAAACTCTGAATTCAAAACCCAGGCTGAAGAACGATAAGCTCCGTCAGGTTATTTTGTCCTAGACAAACTTTTATTGGTGGGGTTGCGGGACATGTAGTACTCCTGCGATCTTAATGGGTTACAGATCTCGTGGAGTAATTAGTTTTATCTAATTATAAAAAGAGTATGTCCATGATTCAAATGATCTCAGCTCCTGAAGTTCCCGAAAACCATAGCACGAGCAGGCTCAAGTTTTGAGTGAAATTGGGTTGACGAAACTGTTTAGAAGCACGAAGTCACAAGCCATTGTGAACGACGCTTCACGTGTACTGGTCTTGTACCAGCTGTTGATCGCGCCAGATTAAACACTTTCTCCCAGATACTGTAACTGCGATCATGTTCACTCATCATAGGAACAGTATAAACCAAAGGCGAGCACTGCGGGTATTGAACAAACACAAATGTACCTGAGGAGGCATTTTGATTCAACGACATACTTAACCATACGATTATGTATAAGTATCCTGAGGTTAATACATTTAAGTTTATCTCAGAATAGCACAAAACGGATAGGAAGATTGTGATGAGCCAGGCTCTCATATCGCACAAAATGTAACCAAAGAGAAAAAGACACACAAAAAGAGACCGAAGAAGTGAGAGGAGAGAGAGAGAGAAAGAGAGATGCACAAAAGGAGACCGAAATTGAAAGACGCAGAAAAAGAGAGCGAAGGAGAGAGACGCGCAAAAAAGTTCGAAAGAGAGAGATGCATACAAAAAGAGTTCGAAAGGGAGAAATGCACACAAAAAGAGTTTGAAAGGGAGAAATGCACACAAAAAGAGTTTGAAAGGGAGAAATGCACACAAAAAGAGTTTGAAAGGGAGAAATGCACACAAAAAGAGTTCGAAAGAGAGAGATGCATACAAAAAGAGTTCGAAAGGGAGAGATGCATACAAAAAGAGTTCAAAAGGGTGACAGGATCAGAAAGGAGAATGACTCAAATTAAAATAACGCGAGAAGGAAAATACTAACTCCGCGTGACTTTTTTTTAAAGATATGACATGGTTTTATTACCCATTTCCTGATAATGTAATATCTACGCCGCTGCCCACTGGCTATTCCTTTGTCCAGACAAGGAAGGTGCTTTATTCTCGTATTCAAACCATAGGAAAATAAAATATATGGAAAATGTATAAAAGGGGAAAGAATTAATTGAAACCGAGCAAGTCGAAAAATGGTCGCCGGCTGTGTATAGAAAGTAGATTTTTGGCTCAAAGAAAAAAAATTATTATAATGGGAAAGATAGTGAAAATAAAGGCCGAAGAAATGAAGTCGATCCAACGTAAATTGGATAAAACTTAGAAAGGAGCAAATAGAGAAATTGAGAGAGATATTGTTGAAGTAAGTAACTGGCAACATTGCTGCAGATCGTCAAATAAAAGAAAGAGTAATAAAATATAAAAAGATAATTTAAAAAGTCTCAAGACATTGAAATAAAAATGAAGACCATTAAGAAGAGGCTAAGGAGAGAAATGAAAATTAAAAGAAATTTAAAAATGCAAAAGAAAGTTTTAAAAAATAAAAGAAATTAACAGGAAAAAGAATAGAAACTAAAGAGAAGAAAAAAAAAACGACGAAAACGTAAACAGACAGGAAAAGGTAGACAAGTGCCTGGAAAGGGAAGAAAAAAAAAGACAAGAGCCTGGAAAATAAAAGAAAAAAAAAGACAAAAGCCTGGAAAAGGAAGAAAAAAAAAAAGACAAGAGCCTGGAAAAGGAAGAAAAAAAAAAAGACAAGAGCCTGGAAAAGGAAGAAAAAAAAGAAAAGAGCCTGGAAAGGAAGAAAAAAAAGACAAAAGCCTGAAAAGGAAGAAAAAAAAGACAAGAGCCTGAAAAGGGAAGAAAAAAAAGACAAGAGCCTGGAAAAGGAAGAAAAAAGACAAGAGCCTGGAAAAGGAAGAAAAAAAAAGACAAGAGCCTGGAAAAGGAAGAAAAAAAAAGACAAGAGCCTGGAAAAGGAAGAAAAAAAAAAGACAAAAGCCTGGAAAAGGAAGAAAAAAAGACAAAAGCCTGGAAAAGGAGGAAAAAAAAAGATAAGAGCCTGGAAAAGGAAGAAAAAAAGACAAAAGCCTGGAAAAGGAAGAAAAAAAGGACAAAAGCCTGGAAAAGGAAGAAAAAAAGGACAAAAGCCTGGAAAAGGAAGAAAAAAAGGACAAAACATTGAAAAAGGAAGTAAAAAAAACCCCGAAAAGACTGAAAATGGAAAAAAAGCGAGGAAGAGATTAATAAAAAAAAGCTTAACAGAAAAAATCCTCTTTAATCTTGATATTTGAGTTCTGTTTTGTTTACCTTTCCCCAAAGCTAAAAATCACAATTGACAGCGTTATTTCCAAATGCAGACAAGATCAAAAACACGATGAGACATCTGATGGTAATCCCTAAAACAAGTTTACAGAACGTTTACAAAAGCGAAAAATGCTCGGGTATTATTGTATCAGTCCCCTGGGGTTCCACCTGGAAGGGGGAAGAAGAAATAAATTTCCACGGTCAAATACCATTTCGCAAATATTAAATACCTGCATAATTTCCGGGCAACCTCCAAAATATATCTGCCCTATAAGTAATTCATGTCAATAGTTTTCTTTAGAAAATTATTGTAATGAATTTTTATCTTCTGTGTTGTGTTTCTTCAAGGTGTAAACGATCATGGCTTTCCAAAATTTCCTGTTTTTTGTAGCTTTTAATAAATGTTATCTTTTTGTTATTTCTCCTAAACTCTGTTCTGCAATCCAGTTACTCAAGCTCACTTAGTTATGCGTTGTGTTTCCTCTGTCTCTCTTGCCTTCAATCTGAGCTGCGAGTATCAGATTTTCTAATCCCACTTTCCTCATTATATGCCGATGCAATTTCAACAGTCTCTTCCTGATGTTACGTGTAAATTTCCTTTTTGTTTCTATTTTCTCTAAAACTTTGTCGTTGCTTACATGTTCGATCCATGGTATCCTCAGCACCCTCCTGGAGAACCACATTTCTGCAGCCTCTTCACCTGTGAGGATATTGTCTAGTATTCACTGCCATATATATATATATATATATATATATGCGTCCTCTCTAAAAACACTTCAGACATTTAAATTATTTGATTTTGGCATCTCCAGTTTGTAATTTGCAGGTTGGTCTGTTCTTTTTGCTAACAACAATTAATTCCATCTTCTGGCAGTTGATGTTTAGTCCTTTCTTCTTGTATTCCTTCACTGCCTTTTGTAGGAGTTATTGTTTCCTTTTCGTGTCTGCTATTAACATTGTGTCAACCGAATATTTTATGTCGTTAAGATTGTAGCCGCCATTAATGAATCCTGGCAGGACTTCTAATTCTCTCAGAATCGCCTCACTGTATAGGTTGAATAAGCCGAATTTAAAAAAAAATCATTAGCAGTAAAATAACATCATCCATCTGATAGTCCAGTTCTCTTAATAGCGCTTTCCTGTACTTCTAAGAACTTAGATATTTTTGATTCAGATTTCATAACTCCAACTGAATGTTGAAAATTGCTTAAATGAATTATTTGTAGGTTATTCAAAATTCGTTACCTAATCATCAACATCTTTCCAAATCAGCATTTTTGATGATGAAACTGCGGTAAAGTAAGCACGGATGTATTAGGAAAGATGCAAGGTTGGTTAGTGAGAAGTAAAAGATAGCAACGAAGCAGAGACTGAAACAAAGAACGAAACAAAGAAACGCTTAAGGAAAGAATGAAACAGAAACATTGATGCAAAGACTGAAAGAAACATTGATGCAAAGACTGAAAGAAACATTGATGCAAAGACTGAAAGAAACAACGAAGCTAAGCGGGAAGGAAAAGAACAAATCATGTGAGATAGAAAGAAGTCTAAAAAGAAAGGAACTCAGAGAGACATTGAGAAACTAACGAAGAACGACGCTAAGGAAGAGAGAAACAAAGAACGAAGTGAAAACCGAACGAAAGTTTCAACAAACCTAAGAGAGAAAGTAAAAAGCAAAGAACGAAGCGATGACAGAAAATCGAAGTAAAAGTGTCACTTAAGATAGACACTACAAACTTCAAACAGAAAACTACCTATGAACGTAAGAAAAAGACAATGCATGTCCCTAAGACAAAGAGAGACAAACCATGATCTTAAGTGCAAAGAGACAATTTATGAACCTAAGACATAGAGAAAGATAAATTATGAATGCCAGACAAAGAGAGAGACAGACAATGAAAGTAAGACTGAGAGAAACAAGCTATGAACATACGACAATGGGAGAGAGATAAACTATGAACATAAGACAATGGGAGAGAGATAAACTATGAACATAAGACAATGGGAGAGAGATAAACTATGAACATAAGACAATGGGAGAGAGATAAACTATGAACATAAGACAATGGGAGAGAGACAAACTATGAACATAAGACAATGGGAGAGAGACAAACTATGAACATAAGACAATGGGAGAGAGACAAACTATGAACATAAGACAATGGGAGAGAGACAAACTATGAACATAAGACAATGGAAGAGAGACAAACTATGAACATAAGACAAAGGGAGAGAGACAAACTATGAACATAAGACAATGGGAGAGAGACAAAGGGAGAGAGACAAACTATGAACATAAGACAATGGGAGAGAGACAAACTATGAACGTAAGACAAAGAGAGAGACAAACTATGAACGAAAGTCAAAGAGAGAAAGGGAGAAAAATTACGAACATAAGACAATGGGAGAGAGATAAACTATGAACATAAGACAAAGGGAGAGAGACAAACTATGAACATAAAACAAAGGGAGAGAGACAAACCAAGAACATAAGACAAAGGAGAGAGACAACCATGAACATAAGACAAAGGGGGAGAGACAAACTATGAACATAAGACAATGGGAGAGAGATAAACTATGAACATAAGACAATGGGAGAGAGATAAACTATGAACATAAGACAAAGGGAGAGAGACAAACTATGAACATAAAACAAAGGGAGAGAGACAAACTATGAACATAAGACAATGGGAGAGAGACAAACTATGAACATAAGACAAAGGGAGAGAGACAAACTATGAACATAAGACAAAGGGAGAGAGACAAACTATGAACATAAGACAATGGGAGAGAGACAAACTATGAACATAAGACAATGGGAGAGAGACAAAGGGAGAGAGACAAACTATGAACATAAGACAATGGAGAGAGACAAACATGAACGTAAGACAAAGAGAGAGACAAACCAGAACGTAAGAGACAAAGAGAGAGAGACAACCATGAACGAAAGTCAAAGAGAGAAAACGAGAAAAAATTACGAAATATAAGACAATGGAGAGAGATAAACAGGAAATATAAGACAATGGGAGAGAGACAAACTATGAACATAAAACAAAGGGAGAAAGACAAACTATGAACATAAGACAAAGGGAGAGAGACAAACTATGAACATAAGACAAAGGGGGAGAAACAAACTATGAACATAAGACAAAGGGAGAGAGACAAAGGGAGAGAAACAAACTATGAACATAAGACAAAGGGAGAGAGACAAACTATTAACGTAAGACAATGAGAGAAAGGGAGACAAACTATGAACGTAAAACAATGAGAGAAACAAACTATGAACGTAAGACAATGAGAGAAAGGGAGAAACTACGAACATAAGACAATGGGAGAGAGACAAACTATGAACATAAGACAAAGGGAGAGACAAACTATGAACGTAAGGCAAAGAGAGAGACAAACTATGAACTTAAATCAAAGAGAGAGACAAACTATCGATGTAACACAAAATGAAAAGAAAGAAAGAAAGAAGTTAAGAGAAAAGACAATAATGACAAACTACAAAGGTTTTGAAATGTTAATTTTTTTTAAATAGACCACTGACGAAACCAGAACGGTAGGCAGAGAAAAAATCTGTCTTAAGAATCAAGATAAAGAGCTTAGAAATGAAATTGATCGGAGAAAAAACACAAAGCGAAAAGGTTTGTTTTTTTTTAAGAAGAAAAAAATAAAAGAGTAAGTAAACAAGAGAATGCTCACAAAAAATGGCGGAGTTCAGATGAAATCCGCCTCATCCCACCATGAACAGCTTTGGTGGGAAGAAGGAATGGAGATAATTGCAGTCAAGATTTCACAAAGGAAGCTGGACCAAGTCATGAGTGAAGAAAGAATCGAATCCGGGAGTTATGAGGTTGGGTTGTGAGGACCGAGGGGGAATTTGAATTTGAAGAACAAATCGCATGAAAATCGAAATAAACTTTGCCAAGCACAAAAAAGAGAAACCAGACAAAACGACCCAGAAATAAAGATAATATTAAAGATGGAATATAATGTTTAATAATGCCTTGAAATGTATGAAGAAAAATGAGCTTATAAGTAAAAATATATATATAAGAGTAGTAGTAATAATAATAATATATAAAAATATTAATAATATATTATTGTAGTAGTTGTCTAAAAAGTTTGAACGGGTTTGAATTTAGTAAAAAAAAATTAAAAAAAAATGATTATTTGATCACAAAGAAGAAAGGGCTGGATAGTAGCAAAGTCAATATCGTGTGGGATATTCTGATGCAGACAGTGACAATTTTAGAGCATAGTATACCAGATTTAGTCTTGCTAGAGATACAGAAAAGATTTTCTGACAGTCGTCTCCTGTCCATTTGACACGAGAAAAGAAGGTAAAATTCCGAAAAGTTCAATAAAATTTCATAATTATCTGATTTTTTAGAGTTTTAATTTTTTTTTTTTTTAAATTCTTATTTTTATTGCTGAGCCCAGGGTAGGGGATTTCCAGACTGGAAAGGGAATATCTCATTTCAAATTCAGTCAAATTATGTGTGTGTGTGTCTGTATGCGTGTATAGTAAATGGCACAAATAGATATAAGCCGACCACGCACAACACAGGCACATGCTAACTCACACACAGTGTGTGACGGACAGAGAATCGTCTATACTTTTATGATATAGATTCTAATTATCTAGCCAGTGTAACAAGAGACAGCTAAAAAAAAAAAAAAAAAAAAGAACTGCTTAACAAATGTTGAAGATGTAAAAATCAACGAACATGTTTTGCTTGATATTCAAAAAATAAAAAAAATTAGAAAGAATTAGAGATTGCGCGTGTACTTAGAGAGTAGGAGATACAATACAAGAAAAAGGTGAACATGCGATAGAAAGAACATATGATGATAATGATGATGAAACTGTACAACTAAAGACGAGGACAAAGCAGCTAAGCAAACAGAAGAAAAAAAAATAATAATGCAGATTTCAAAGAAAAGAATAAAATCACAATGGAAGGAAAAAAAAATAACATTCTCAGAGAAGTCGCTAAAATAAACAGTACCTGATGCGACACAAATCATCATTAAAGAAAATACAAAATAACGAATCTGAAGGCACAGTATGAGGGTCAGTTATGTGCTGAAAAACAAAATATAACCCAAATCTTATCGAATTACATCATTTCTGAAACTGCCACTGGGATAAGATCAGTCACGATGATAAATAAACGCACAATAAATGGACATAAAAAGACCAAATGAAAAAAATCCTTGAGATATCTAAGGGTAATGCTAAAAAAAACCCAAAGTATGACAAAATAGGGAAATATGAAAATACAT